ATTATTATATCTATGAAGAACTTTTCTTAAATTTTTCATTTTTTTGAATAGAGAATCATTAATAACTTCAGTGTCTTATTATTTAACTTATCTAAAGTTTTAATTCTATATTGATTATTCCTCTTTTTCTTTATCTTCCTTTTCAAATACTTGGCTGATACCTGAAATATTAAATTTCATAAATCCTTGTTCCTTATCTTTATCAATTTAACAATTCCTTTTAATTTTAGCATTATCAAGACATTTGAAATATTAATGATCATATTCAAGTATTTTAGAAAGAGCTATAATTAATTAATAAATTTCTCTCAAACCACCTCCAGTTTCTTAAACCTTATTAAAAACTGAAGTTCCTCTTTTATGAGTAGATTTCTTTTAAACAGGTTCTTCATTATCTTTTTTCCAAAATAATTCAAATTTCAACATTAGTTCTAAAATTTTAATGATTTCCAAAGTCTCCATATTATATACCAAATTTTCATCTAAGTTTTTGTCTAATTTTTCTGATTGGTAAGTTAAAAATTTAAGCATCTTTGATTTTAACTTTTAAATATCAAAATCTCCTTTTAACTACTTTTTACTAGATGCTTCATCAAATAAAAATAATTATTTCTAAGTAGTTTTATTTTCCAAGATTTTGACTAACTCAGGTTTAGGTGTAGTAGTATAAGGTTCTCTGTCTATGTACAAAGTTCTGATCATTCGAAAGAAGTAAGCTCTCACTTATTCATCAACATAATATGCATCACCAGAGGATTAATTATTTTATTCAGCATATGATAACAAAAAGGAATAGGTAAATGTTTTTGAAATTAATTATCTGGCTGCTGTATTTCGATGAAAACAAATGTTAGAGTAGAATGCCAACTATTCAATTAAATAATTGTATTGTAACACATAAATAGGATCGGACTCTCTTTATTATCTATATTCAATTAGAAATTCATTTAGCATTTTAGTCACATATGTTTTATTTGATGTTTTATAGGTAATATAAAACTCTACATAATCTCCATCTTAATCTTTTATTGGTTCCAGATTCATTAAAACTTTATCTTCTCCCATATCGTTCTTTACTTTTTAATGCAATGATTGAATTTAATTCAATAAGAATTCTTAATTTGAAAATACAGGTTCTCCATTGGCTTCACAAGTTTCAGATATAAATCTAAGTAAATCAGGTTACAATTAATCACTCTTTTATAGACTATCTACTAATCTTGATAAAATTGTGCTTTAACTTTTTTGAGTTTTCTATTCTAAACTCATATTTTAAGTTTATTTCATATCATTTGGTAATTCTTATTTATTTAATGAACTTAAAATTGAATAGTTTTTTGTAATACATTGGATTATAGTATTGCATACATAATCAATAGTAATATATTTTTCAAAATATTTGAAGAATTTCATTATTATTTCTTAATTTTACAAATTATTATGACATGCTATTCTAATAGTTTCAAATAATTTAAGTTACAGAAGTCTCTTTCTTTTTCTGTGATTTTCTTCTAAATTTTCTTTCAATTTTTGAACTTTCCTTTCATATTCAACATCATTAGATTTATCAATATTTTAATAAAGCATAGTTTAAACTCTAAGAATGAAAGAAGCTTCTCCACATAAATCACTAATAAGATGTTCTTCAGATCCTTCAATCTTTTCATCTGGATTTGGAAATGTCTTACAAATTAACCAGATTAATAAAGGCAAGATATTTTCTTCTCTAATTACATCTTGTCTATTTTGAGAAACAAATGAAAAATCTTAAGTAGTTTAAATATTGCTGACTAATTTATTGTACATAAATTGATTCAAAATATCTAATAAAGAATTAAGCTTATCAAATAAATAGTAAAATTCTATTCTTTCCTATACTTCACTCTTTTTCATGTATACTATACTTGCAAGAGGTTGTACTCTTTCAAAAAATGAAATGGCCTCTTTCAACATAGGTACCAAAAACACTAAAAATCTTTTTTCCCATACATCCTCATAATCAGCTTTTCTGAATTTCATACAATTAATTAAATTTATGTCAAGAGTAGTACTAACATCTTTCATATGGAATTCAGGATCATTTTTTATAGAAATGTAACTACCGGTTTGGAAATGTTTAATAAGAAAATAAGAATCCTTACTGACAAATTTAGAATTCTATTTAATTGGAACAAATTAAAATAAAGTACTCTTTGGTACTTAATCTGTAAGTCTAACTTATCTCATTATATTAATGTCCAAATATTAACCTGTTTAAAAATGTCTTATTCTGTAACACTTTTCCCATTTGACTTCTCCTCCACAAAAATTCTCAGATTCTATTCTCCAATAAGCACTAAAGGGGATTCTAATTTTGTCTGATTTACTACCACTAAAATCACTAAATAATATTTTAAGTTCTGAATATAAGGCTTAATCTATTTCTTTGACATTTTTTGAAGGTTAAATAATTTATGATGATCGAGATTACATAGATTTTTATTTTTCAAAGATGTTACTATTATTTTAAGAATCTGATTTATTATTTCTAACTTCATTTTTACCAACTTCCTCACTAACTTATCTAGAAATAACACCTTAAGGGATTGGAAATAATGTTTATTATTTTGTTAATACAAATTTATCTTGAACAATATTGCTGATATCATCTACGGAATTACGATCTAGAATTTCCTTAACTTTTTCTTATATATCTTATGTTTTCTTTGCATTAAAATATAACTATCGATTTATAAAATTCTTACATTCAATTCTGGCAAATTGAATATTGCCACATCACCAACAAATAATGCTTCTTAATTCTCTTTTTAATTTTAAAATATCATAATTCTCCATTAAGTTGAATCTTCAACTGAAGCTATCACTTTTGCTCTACATACTTCATCTTCATATTTCTATGGTTCATCATTTAATTCATAATAATTTAATCCCCAATAATCACTAAACAAATTAGCAGTTCTATTACAAACTTACTTATTTGCTGATATACAAACAACATCACCACTATAAACTACATTAGTTCTCAACTTCTAAAAATTTAGACAAGGATTAAACTTCAATAAAGTATTATCATTTGGAAAATCAATTAACTTAAATTGAATTGCCTCTAAATTATTATCATCTAAAGCTAGAAATTTCAAAGAGGATACATGAACCAAATGAAAAATAGAAGAGCTAAACACTAATGGAGTTCCTGCTAATTTATTATTTAGAGATATGTTAGAAGACAATTCATTTTCTAAATTTAACAACGTTGTTTAAATTTTTTGCTTTCTTTCTTTTTATTCCTATTCTTCAAATTTTTTAAAACTAGAATCTTTGAATTATTCTATTAAATCATGATGTGCTCTATAATTTAAAACTGGAAATATTCGAAAAACACAATTTTAATAATCTTGATCTAAGTCTCCTTTTAATTAATGAAATGATCTCAAATTAAAATTTTATTAGCTGAATCCATTAGTATATAGTGATAAATTAGGAAATGCACTCATATTTAACACTATTAAAGAAGAATATGTAATTGGTTCAGGATTCATTTAATTAATTATATTATAACTTCACATTTTTACATTCATAAGAGATTTTTTATTAACAGTTCTTAAGATTCTTTTTAAATTATCTCAACTAAGTACTTGATCTTAGTTAATAATAGTATCAACATATTCATATAAATTTAAAAACCATAACTTTACTTTTATAAAAATTATGATTAGAAGTTTGGCTGATTTTATAGATTAAAAACAGGAATTATGGAAATGAATACTTATCCTAGATATTTGTAAATTCTCATTCTTTTAATTTTATGATTAGCATTATAAATCCCATTTTTTTATATTGCTAATATTTTTCCTAAATTAATAATCTGAAACAACTTCCTTTATCTTTTAGATCCTAATAGATTTATAAATGCTCTTTGTTGATGAGAATATTAATTAAAGAAAATTTAAGAAAATTTTATTATTCTTTCAGTTAAGCTTTGGCAAATAATTCATCTTGAGTTTTTAAAATATTATTTCTTATTTAGTCTAAAAGAATTGAAATTCTATTTTATCAATATATATTATTTTAATTATTGGCTTTATTTTCATCATTAGTCATGATATATTAATATTTTAAATAATAATAAATATATATTAATAAGGATTGAATTTATTTACTAGACTTCTTAATAAAATAAAAGTATAAATTTGATTTTAGTTATTCATATTGTATTGTTAATAATTAAAATTAAATTTATAAAGAATTAAATTAATTAGTGAAAACAATTAATGTTAAGCACAGGATAAATAGAATTCATAAAAGGAGGAATTGCAGTAAATATAAGAAGTGATGGACGTAAAAATAATGAAGTGAGAGAAATTAAATTGTTGAGATCTCATCTTATATGCACAAGTGGTTCATGTAAATATGAGGGAGAAATCACAATCTATACCGGAATAAAGTTAGAGTTGGGGGATTAATCTTAGATTAAAATAAATGTAAGTTCAATGAAGAGAACAAATGATGAAAAATAGAAAGCTTAGTATCTTCAAGAATTATTGGAATCTCTTTACAAAACTGATATGAGTGAATTAAAAGTTGGTCAAAAAGGATGGGTATTAGTTGTTGAAGTGTTTCTATTATGTTAAATAGATATTGCTTATTTAGAAGCTATTTGTACATCTATAAATGAAGCAATGTCAGATTTAAGGATACCAACTATAAAAGTTACAAAGAATCTATTAACAGAAATAGAAGAATATGAATTATTACCTAATGAACCAACTAAATCATTTAAATGTGATAAAATTTATGTTGTTGGTAAAGTTGGAACAGAATTAGTAAAAGATATGAGTTTTGAAGAATTTTATTCAGTAGATTAAAAATTGATATTAGTTTAAGGAAGAAATGGAAATAATAAATTAAGAACATTTGATAGTTGTGGATTTGATGCTGATGATTTAATGAGAGTATTAGTGTTTATAAAATGATAAATTAATTAATTATATATATATATATATGTCTGTATACTTTTATATTCCAAATCTAATTGGATATGCAAGAGTTATATGTGCTCTTGTCTTTTGTTATACAGGAAGCTTTAATCCAATTATCTCTGCTATTGTCTACTCAGTGAGTTAATTAGGAGATCTTTTTGATGGAATGGCTGCCAGAAAATTCAATTAATGTAGTGTTTTCGGAAGTGTCTTAGATATGGTAATTAATATAATTAATATCTATAGGTAACTGATAGATTCTCCAATGCTTGTTTATTGGCAGTACTCTATAAATTATATCCAACTATTGGATTTTTGTTTTTGTGGGCATTAGCTTTGGATTTATGTAGTCATTGGTATTAGATGTACTCTACTTTATATTGCAATGAAAAACATCACAAAACAGCAGTCTCTAAATATAAAATACTAGAGATATATTACAAAGTTCCATATATGTTATTTATCATGGTTTTATTGAGTGAAGTAATTATAATTCATATTTATAATTATAGACAGCAATGGTTACTTTATATCTGAATGTATTTATTGATTGGTTTGTAATTTAAATACTAATGTACGTTTCAGTTCCATTTTTATGTTTAAAACATGTAAGATATTTTATCATTATTAATTAGTATATTAATTTTATTCAATTGATTAGTGCATCAGATAAAATTATTGAAAAAGAATAGAACAAATTTTGATTGTATAATAAAAATAAATTATTCATTCAAATATATATTTAACTAACAATATATATAACATGATTATTTCTAATTATCTATGTTATTTTTGATATTTCTCTTAAAAATGCAAAAAAAATAATGTATTTAATATAAAATTACTTATATTGTTAACTAATTCATGTTTATTATTTATTATTTTTAATATTTCCTTAGGTATTTCATTTAGTTTCATAAATTTAAATCTAGAAATTCACTATTTATAAAATTTATTTTTAACATTATTTATAATCTAATATGGGTGTCTATTATTTCTTTATGAAATATACAATTAAATTATTTAATAATGAAAACTTAAACATCCAAAATTTCACATCGACAAATGTTTATTATCAGAAATGAATCAGCAGCTTTATCAAGAAAACATCACTTATATTAATCATCCCCTTAACCTCCTATTTAATTTATCATACATGGTTAATCTCTTATTCCAACTAAATTCAAGTCCTAAAATAAACCTACTCCTAAAGAAATCAAATTAAAGTAAACTCTTAAAGCAGTACATATTATATCCTTAATCCACTTAGATCAAATATAAGTTGCAGTCTCTAAAAATTGAATAATCTTAAATTAAGAAATAAGTCATATAACAATCATAAACTTTCAAATCTCATTTACAATAAATTCAATCTGCTCAAGAATTAAATATTAATACTATCCATTAATATTTTAATGAACAAAATAAGTATCCATTTATTTCTTTATATTTTATAGGTTCTTCTAATAAGATATTTCTAGACTCAAATAACAAATCTAATTAATAAATTATTAAGTTCAATTATTACAATGAAATAATATCAGAGTATTTTATCTAATTTAACTCTTATTTATTTTTATTTATTTATTATTCAATTACGAACTGATATAATTTAATTATCATCAATTTATTTGAAAATAGAAAATCTAATTTTCCTTAAATATCGTATTAAGACTTAAATATATATTTCTTAAATGAGTTTATAAAATTTTAAATAATTAGATCAAATTAAGCATTTCAAATTTAACTAAATATTTCCGATCTAAATTGTTTTTTTTCATTATAACTTTCAAATTTGATATATGATATTTTGATAGAAAATGTACTCCAAAAATAATTCATTTTAGTTAAGTTATAAAATCAATTTTATAAATTAATGGTTTCAGTAAAAATGGAAGGTTTATAATTTTTAAATTATTATGTGAACTACCTTAATTAACATTACATTACTAAAATAATAATAAAATAAAAGGCATAATCAAGATGTTGTAAAATAATTTAAAAACTATTAAGAATTTTTATAATATTTTTAATAAGATAGTTAAAATTATATTTTGATTTTGTTGGTTAATTTTATTTCATTTCTTAAATATTTTAGAGTTTGGATGATTGTATTTTTATAAAATACATCTTATGAATTTTCCAATTTTATTTTAAAGTTATATAAATAAAAGTTCATAAATAGACTGATTCATTAATTGTTTCATTTAAATTATATAAATTATTTATGATAGAATTTGATATTTGGTTATATTAATCCGAGTCATTAAGATAACTCTTGATTTTTGAAATTAGTATTCTGATTTATTTTAAAATAATTTTTCTACTTTTCATGATATAATTATCTTAATTAAAAATAAACTTATTAAGGAATCATCAAAATGTTATCAATAATTATCATTCAACCATTTTTTTTTTAATAGAATAAAAAAAATATACTAAGTAATCTCAATCTACACTTAAATAAATTTAAATATATTATTATTAATCATATCTCTTATATCAAATTAAATATAAATAAAAAAAATACAATTATTAATATAAAAAATCATAACTTGATGAGTTTATGGGACAGAGAAGATAATTAAAATAATTTTAAATAAATAGATTAGAATTATTAAGTTGATCAATACTCTTTTAATCAAAATGATAATATTCCCAATTATAGAACATATATTTCATATGAATAAGCTAAAATTACTATTTAAAGATTTTAAACTCTAATGCTTAAAGAAACCAATACCAAAAATATTCCAAAAACATTTGGAAACAATTTTAAAAAGTTTATGGACAATGTATTAATGAATCAAGTCTAACAAAATGGTACTCCAATTCCTTAAAATATGGATGTGTTTTTAAATAAAAAAAATAAAGGGCAGTAATCAACTTATATTCTTAAAGATTTTAAAGCTTTATTTAATAATGAAGCATGTAGTAAATGGTTTTAATTTTACATATAAAATTGTGCCTTTTTAGATTTGATATAATCTAATAGAATTGAAAATATTGAGGATTACATTTTGTTTATAGAATAATATTTGGCAGGTGCTTAAAATCCAGAAAATTTTATAACAAATAGATAATAAAAAAAAAAAGAAGCAGCCAAATATTAGAAAATTTAGAAGAAATTAGATGAAATGCAATTAGATGATGATTCCAATATTCAGTTTATAGGTTATCATGAAGATTAATCTTCTGAGCTCAATAAACAAAATGAAGAAAGCAACATGTTTATAAATATGAAATCATTACTTAATAAATTATTATGACATTTGCTCATTTTACTAACTCCTTATTATTTAAAATTTTTATGTTATTTGCTAATTTTACTTTTTTCTTTATATTTCAAGCTCTTATTCAGTTAATTTCCACAATATTTAATGAATAAACTAAGGATATGGTCTTTTTTCATAATTTTTATCCAAACATTAAGCCAATAATTTTAAAAATTCTTATGGATAATTTTCGTTTTATAATTTATTTTCGATTGCTTAAAGCGAAAAATATAAATTATATTCTTAGTCTTCAAGACCTCTGCATCCTAACCTATGTCCTGCAAAAATACCCCTGTTAGCAATTGTAAAACATATAAGGCCAAATTACCACATATTATATTTATATGTTTCTATTGTTTCTGGTGGATCATATAAATCAGAATTTTCTGAATTAAATATAGTCATTTTAGCTGAATTATATTTACATAATTTTTATTCGTAGTCTTATTTAGAAGTTTATACTTTAGATCTATCAAAATCCCCTATAACAATTTAATATTAAATAAATTTCTCGAATTCATCTTCATTCCAGTCTTCTAAGAATAGATTGTGAGGCTTCAAATCTCTATGAATCGATTTACATAAATTCAACTCAAATATTGCTTGAGAAAAGCTATGACATAAATAAAAGACTTTTAATTTATAGAATTTAACATTCTAATTCATCCATTATTTAAATATATCACTAAGAGTATATTTATAGTATTTGATAAAAATAAATGGTTTATCTAAAATTCTGATATAAAATAAATTTGATAATAACTATTTATAATCTTTATTTTTTTCTGAAATTTCTATTTCTCTATCTATATTTTGTCTAAATTCTTCATAATACTTATGATTATTCAGAATTTTTTTTTATTTAAAAATCATCATTTTAGGTGAATTATCTATCATTTTTTTAATAATTTCAGGAGTATCAAATGATTTTATTACACAAAATGGAGTATAATAGATTGTTTATTAAAAATTTGAAATATTTAATAACCATGAGATTACAAATTCATAAGAGGCTTCAACTTCAAGTTATTTTGAAGAGATATTTTACTAAAAAAATAAATATTCTAATAAATTTTGCAATTAGGGATCTTCCTTTAAATTTAGAAATTAATTTATATTGGGTATGTATGTATTGAAATTTTAAATGACTAAAAAATATGAAAAAGAAATACTTAATTCTTTGAATAGGTCTTGTCTATTTTATTTGTTATTGTTATATTTATAATCAATGATTATTACTTTGAGAATTCCATCAATATAATATAACTAACTCACATCACTTATTTACCAATTGAAATTTCTATGCTCAAACTCATTGAAAACTTTAATTATAATAATCTATTTACCTAATATTAACTATATCAATATTCTTGAATAATCAGATTAAGTAAGAACTTTAATTTTGTCTTATGACAATTAGCTATCTAATATATGATTAAACACTAAAATTCTTTTTTTTTAATTTAAATACAAACGCAAAGGTTATTACATTCCTATATATTAACATCTTCTAATTTTCTTCTATTCTACCTTATCTAATTTAAGTTCTTAAATATCAAATGAAATATAATTTATTCCATTTAACTACAATTTCTATATTGTTATTTGTTTGTTAAATTTTATGCCGTAATTCTTATCAATAATTTAATAAATAGTGGAGTAATCTTCAGTGTAGATCATTGTTAAATTAATTTATATTAATTCTAATAATAAATTTCATAGAACTATTTTTCGACATTAATTACAATATATTGTAATTCTCTGTCAGTAAATTAGAGAACTAATTTAAATTACATTGATAAAATTGAAAATATTATTTAGGTGGATTATTGTTATTTGCTTAATTAAAATTAACTAATGGAATACTAATTGGAATTAGCGAATAAAACTATTTAGGAATTACAGTAAAAACTCTTAGCTGCTGATAAATAGATTGTTTCAAAATAAACAGAAAAAATTTCAAATATAGAATTATAAGAAAAATGAATTGAAAGAATGAATAATGAAATAACTAAATTGTATAGAAAATTAGAATCCTTTGAACATTAATTAATAATAAAGGTTAAAATTTAACTTAGACTAAAGATGACTAATATTATAAATATGAAACTTATATTGAAAGATTGGAGTAATAATTAAGATATACATATTATTAAATAGATGATCAAAATGTTTATTTATTATAAATTGAATAAAGAATTACTCCTTTAAATGAAGAAAACAATTAGCTTATTAAAAAAATAAGAGTTAGATTATTATAAGAAGACGATCTAGAATTAAATTAATAAGTTGAAAGTAGAATATTAATTAAAGATTATTGAATAATAAGATATATTAATACAATTAACTAAATCTCGTAATAAAGAAGGTTCCTATTTCATAAAATACTTTATTCATTGATTATGGTAAAGAAAGCTGAGCTAATAGATAATCAACTTAAGACTAATTATTAGGATTGCAATTAGAATTAAATAAAAATATCAAGCTGTTAAATACTAAACTTAAACAATATAAATGAATTAATTTGTTATATATTTGATTCAGAAAATCTTACAATCTGAATTTGCAGCACAACTTTGTTTATTTTCATTTAAGACTTTTCTATCTTCTTAAACAACTTATGGTCTTGGGTCAATTGTTTATTTGACTCTCTTTTTTTCAAGTTCTTAAATAAGATCTTATTTATGCTCAATTTCAATTTATAATTCTTTATTTTATTCAACTAAATAATCCAGTTATTTTTATAAGGATTCACTTTTCTAACGGAAAGGTTCTACCTATTCTTTCTTTAATTTTGCTTAAGTCTTATAATAAATTAACTCTTCATTTAATTTACCTATCATTTATTTAACATTTCTAGCAGCTATTTTTTTAGCAGGATCTGAATCTTGAATCAATAATTAAAGATCATCTGATATATCATCTTCATTATCAACTTTAGAGTTTCTTTGAGGGTTATCAACTAAAGTTTAAGATGAAGTCATAGATTAATCTGATTTCTTTTATTATTATAATTCTTATATTTATTTTTTTAAATTTAAGATTTCTTAATTTTTCTTTTCAAGTAGATTTTTTCCATCCTCTAAATCCTTAATTACACTACTAATTTAAGCAACTGAAGATGTTCTTTTAGAAATTTTTGGTTCTTCAAGTTCTTCAATTTTTTTTTCTAATTCTGATTTTTCTTATGTTAATTTTGCAATTTATTCATTTTTTAATTTAACTAATTGTGCCATTTATGTTGGATTAGTATTTTATAGTTTTAAAACTTCTATTTCTTATTTGCATTTTAAGAGTTCATTTTCTAAATGTGTTGAATCACTTTTAGTGGATAATGTAAATGATGATGATTCATTTGCTTTTTCTTATTTCATAAATTATAATTTAAGATTTTGATTAGATTCTAAAAGATTAGAGTTTTCATTTTCAATTTTTTAATATTAATTTCTTAAATTTTTGAGTTCTATCTCAAAACTTTATATTTAATCATTTAACTAATCAATTTCTATTTTTTGTTTAGAAATTCTAATCTTATCCACATTTATTTCTTATTTTAAGGATGTATTTTCTTATTGAAGTAAAATGATTTATTATTTGAATTTATTTTCTAATTATTATTGTTATTCTGATTAACTCATAGATCTTACACTGCTATTAGAATCACTTCTTAATTTTTTTGTTTCATAATAATATTTCTAAAACTATTGATCTTTTACATTCCAAAGGATAAATAATTTATTCTTTTCTATAGAATCTTTGAATTAATGAACACTAAATGAACATGCAAGTACTTTTATAAACTCATTAAATCCATCTTCTTAAAATAATTAAGAGAACATGAACAGAGATGTTTATATTTCAAATGCATTTATAGTCATAGACACAATATAAGGTCCAACTTCTTATAGAAAAGGTTTGATAGGTTCAGTTGGAATTTTCAAATTATGGAATGATTTGATCATCACACCAAGTTCAGACTTAAAGTCATAGCCAAGTCTTAAGTTCCTAAAATGCAATGCCTTAGGAATTAGTTGCGTATACATAACTTAGAGTAATCCATAGGATGTAACTTCAGAGCTTAAACAAAGCAAAATTAAAGTAGTGAAAATTAAACTTGGATGAAAGCCTACTTCTGGATAATTTCTAAGGAAGGTTCCAAGCACATTCCTGATAGACCCTAACACTGAGCCTTTGTCTACTTATACTACTAAACTCATAAAGTCTCTTATTGAATAATTCATTTTTCTATCAATCTCATCATAAATGGAATCTAACTAATTAATAAACTAATTATATTCAAGTAAATCCTTTTATTCTTAAATTCTATATTATTCTTTAATCTATCTAATATCAACACCAAGGTTTTTAAGCCATTCAATTCCTAATGAATCTTTGTTAAACTAAATAATATTAGTTTTAACAAATTATTTAAGGATATCTGACTCAGATTTACATATATTACAAACCCTATGAGGATCTTTGCTTTTTGAATAACCTAATATAATCATTTTATTTTAAGCACATTTGTCACACACCGCTCGTTTACATCTTAAGTTTATATAGATGTATCATACCTTTTACATTGATGTTCCTTAGTCATCACACTAAAATCTTTGAAACAAATAAGGCAAGATTTGTATTATTGCCTTTAAGAGCTGATATCTATGTGAAATATATTTCCCTTCATTAAATTAATATTGCATCATGTAAAACATAATTTCAATAACTATAAACATAAATAGATAATTCCATATTCGAAAAAGAAAACGAATACTCATAAATATCATCTATCTATTGATATAATCTATAACTAAATTATTAGCAAATAATGAACAAAAAAAATCTGTTTTAATACCGAAAATGAATTTTATAAATATATTTCTTATTTCCTAAATGAGTCTATAGGTTCCTATCTTATGATTAATAATTAAGAACAAATTAATATTCATTTTAAAATGGTTTAAATTTATTAGATATTTTTGAAAAATTGTTGAGTTAGACAGTATAAAATAAATTGTATCTCTTATATATATAGGGAATGCTAATAGAGTAATATTTTTTGTTTTAATTAATGTATATTAAATTGTATATAGATATTGATATATATTGTAAATTTAATCTTTATCATTCTTATAAGTAATTCTGTTTATATCTTTATAATTATAAAAGCAAAGAAAAATTATTTATTGCTCTATTTATTAATAGATAAATAATTTAATCATGATTGCATATGATAATCATATATGAAAACCTTTTAGGATTTTAGATCCAACATCAAAAAACCTTGAATGGATCCAAATAGTATATACAGAGTTTCAATCTAGATATCAAATTAATTAATTATAAAATATTTGTAGATTTAAATTAAAGGAATACTCAAAACAAATAATAATATAATTAGAAACTTTTAGATTATAAATTTGATGATGTTATTATTGTAAATCAAATTCTTCTTTAACCAACTAACTGATTGATAGTGTAAGCATCATTCTCTTTAAGAATGGCTTCAACTTGCATGAATGATTCATTTGAATCACCTAATAATAATTTATATTGAGTATTACTATCATCATATTACAAACAGAAACATACTCTTGATGGATTGATGCCTAATTCTGGAACATGGCCAGATGCTAATTAAGCTAAATACTCTGAGATAGCACATAAAATATCAGCAGCGTTTTCTTTAGTAACATCAATTGTTGCCTCACATCTTTATATTGATAAATAAAATATAATACTCTTTGACAGCTGGAACTTAAGGTTCAGAAGGAGGAGCTGGACCTGGTGCTGGTTTAGGTGATGGTGCAGGAGCTGGTTCAGGTTCTGGTTATGGTTAAGGTTCAGGTAATGGTTCAGGTTTTACTTCATCAGGAATAACAGGAGGAACTTCAGGTGGTGGAGGAGGAACAAATTCTTCCTCTTCTTCAGGCCAAATTGATTCCTCTTCAGGAATTAAAGTTGGTGGAGGAGGTACAAACTCTTCCTCTTCTTCTGGCCAAATTGATTCTTCTTCAGATGGAATATCAAATGGAACCTCTTCTGGATTAGTAGGAACATATTCTTCTTCTTCTGGCCAAAATGTTTCTTCTTCAGGGAATACTTCTGGTACAATTTATGGAACTTCAGGTTAAGGATTGTATCCAAATATGATATCCTTTGGTGGATTTACAACATCAATAGCAACATCACCAATACAAGAATTTACACGCCAATTATAGAATTTACCATTGAATGCAGGATATAAACCATCATTACCAATATATAATCTTCTTTAAGGAACAAGATAATGACGGACATCATGAATTTAATTAGAAGGCATTTCTGACTCTGATAAATAGATAGCATAATTAGCATATCTGGTTCTTCTACTGTAACCAAAGTAAATATAATGCCATTAACCCAATGTTGAACCATATTCAACTGAATCCCATAAATTAGGATTACCAGATCCTGAATATGTATAAGTAGTAACTTAATATCGATTGCCAACCAATTCATTACCAAGATAAAGAGCCAAGTCTCTATCTCCTAATTAAATATCATCCAAATCAGCATTTGTATTTTCAGACAATCTAAAGACAGTGTGCCAAACATCTTAATCTTATAAGGATTCCCATTTGAACCAACCAGAAACTGAATAACCAGAATCCCAAGTAGAAAAGTCATATCTCTCTTCAGAGTTGTCATCAAATCCAGAAAATTCAAAATCTCCTAATTCATGTGTATCCAATTCACAAACTTCTTCAGGAGGATTATTGCATGAATCAACTATTTATTTGTATGTTTTTTCATCTTGGAAATGTAGATTTGGTGCTGAGACTGCAAAATGTCCATACACTTAACCTTAGAATGATGGATGAGAATCTTATTCACCACCAATAATGAATTCTAAAGTACTGAAATTTGGATGAGATGCAGGAGTTTATCTCAAAGCTGGTTATTCTTCAAAGAATTTAACTCCACATCCAGTGACTCCTTTACCATGACTGATAAATACAAAACTCCAGTCACCTTCGAAATCATCATTTTATACAGATGTAGATTATTATGTTGATCCATCAGCTGTCACACATTTAACACCAGTCTTAGTTACAAATACTCCCAAAACTGTATTTCCATTATCTTATAAACTGGCTAAATGGAATTCTTCACCATCAGCAAAAGCTGGGTATTTTTATAATTTTTAGAAGTATAATCCAAATCCATATTCATTTGTTATTGTAAGTGTGCTTGTAAATCCAGGTTCAACTTAAGTGGCTGTTAATTCTATCTTCTCTGTAGATTCAGATGAATGGCAAACTATTGGAGATTCTACATCAACAGGTGTTTCTTCAAAAATAAATTATTCTTCTTGCTCTTCTGGAAATACTAAAGGATCAGGAGAGACTGGTGGGAGTGGAGTTTCTTCAAAAATGAATTCTTCTTCATTTTCTTCTGAGAATACTTATGGATCAGGAGAAACAGGTGGAAGTGTTTCTTCATAAATGAATTATTCTTCATCTTCTTCTGGGAATACTAAAGGATCAGGAGAAACAGGTGGAAGTGTTTCTTCAAAAATGAATTATTCTTCATCTTCTTCTGGGAATACAAATGGATCAGGAGAGACAGGTGGGAGTGGTGTTTCTTCAAAAATAAATTCTTCACGATATTCTTCTGGAAATTCTTAAGGATCAGGAGAGACTGGTGGAAGAGGTGTTTCTTCTTGATCTTCCTCTGGTGAATCAGGTATAGTTGGTACTGATTTTGGTTCTTCTGGTTCTTCTCCTGGAATAGTCCACTCTTCTGTTCCATCTTCTGGGACTGTTGTTTCTTCAGGGGATTCTTCAGAACTTGGATTAAC